AATAAATCCTAAAACGTTGTTGACCATTATTAACATGTTTCAATAGAACCTCTCTAACAGTGAACAAAACCAAACACTGTCAAGGCCGTTCTAAACAGCTTTCATCCACTGGCCTGGTGAAACATCCTCCTGTGTTTTGTCTTCAGATGCAGCTTGGGTGGTGAGGAGAATGTTGGACTGCTTCCCCCTCCGCAATAGTAAAGACTAAAATCCAAGCACTGACATTTTTCTCCCCTGCAAACTATGTAGTTTTAGCTACCTCAGTTCTTTGAAGTGTGGTGTCAGCTATTACACTACTTCTAGTTCGCTGCTTATTAGATGAAAAGCATCCACAGTTCCTAATTCTCTTTAACCCACAAACATGTAGCTGCTGCTTTTGCAGTGAAAATGCCCTGACAGAATCTCAAAGCCGGCTGCAGGCCAGGTCTGCAGAGCTGAGTCATTGTTATACAAGCAGAGCTGAGATGGCACAGAAAACCACCTTTGTACTTTAACATGAAAACACGTCAGCTGTGAACTTCAAGTATCACAAGACACCTAAAGAGCACAGTCAGTGATTTACTGGACTTTTCCTCTTACCCATCCCATCATCTTCCTGAATAATTCTTCCTTCTCCATTTTGTCTCAGAAGCTTAAGAGCAAAAGCATTCTTCATCAAGCTATGGACTTGTGCTAAAGTGTGGCAAACATTGCATCATTAGGTAGTAATGTACCAGTGAAAGCTGTTAACTCTTCGGGCACTGGGAAATGCCTGCTGCCAGGTACACTGACAATACAGTATCCAACCACTGAAATACAGGGCTTGCAAATCAGAATGCCAGTGAAATTTATCATCAGCCAGAGATCCCCTATAAAGCTCTTCAACTGATTATTTATGTGAGACCCAGTTTTGAGCTTTAAGAGTCCTTTGTAATCAAACATGAAACAAATGAAAAAGGAGGAAGAGTTTCTTTACTATAGGCTTCTGAAACAAAAATGCATTTTGTTCTTCCACTTTTGTCTTCCAGTTCTTTATCCTGAAACATAGGGGAACAGAATTTAGCTTCTCAAAATGCTTTCTGCATTTAAAATATGCTGAACTAATGGTGGAGGGGCACAGAGAGTGATAGATTTGCAGATGTTACATGCACTGCATACTCCAGTTTTCTCACTGGAACTGCTTTTTGAGCACGTACAAGTGCTAATCTCTCCTGTCTTACAGAGAAGAGGCCATTTGTGTGAACGGATCGCTAACAAGCTCCTAAAATATGTTGTGGTTTTCAGTGCAGTGCAGTTAACTCTTTTTAGAAAAGGACAGACCATGTAGGCTGAAACCTGCAACTGCTGCTGGCCATAGCCCGCACTGAAGGCAAATGAATCTATGCTGCAAACTGCACAGGTTCAGTTTCAGTTTGTGGTCTCCAGTTTCACCTCAGTGACTTTTCCTCCCAAAATATAAAGTGACTAACATGAAATCTAGTGTGACTAAAGGTCTGGGAGTGGCTCAAGATCAGGAGCTACAGACGAACATGCTGGCATGGGCCGGAATCTGTCACACGTGGTGTATTAAAATGGTTCCATTAGGATGAGTAACCGGTACTGAGGTTCACATAAGGAACAACAGGAAATTGTAACTTAGTGCCCTTTCCTATCATCAGAGAAGAGAGGTGCTGAGCCACAAGATTGTTATGCATGTCGTGGTATGTGCCATCTCAGGAGGCAGCCTACACGCTGTAGTCGCATGTTTTTAAAGCTGTTTTCCAGACCAGAGAGTGCTGTTTCATCATTGTCCAGTTGCTTTGCTATATTCCTGGCTGTGACATGACCCTTCGGTGCCTCTTCTACCCCCAGACTGTCAGCTCGCTTGTTTACATCTTTCCCTGTTCCCTTTCTTGAGAAGAGCAAGATATTAAGTCCTGTTGAAAATATAAGTAAGTTCTTGATTATAACTCAAACAAAATAAATTTCCAGTCTTGCAACACTGGGCACAAAGATTCATCCTGGGAGTGATTTTTTCCACACCCCCCCCAATCAAAGGTGACTTGGACACCTGCAAGTTTTGTATTTCTCCCCTTCGTTGAATAGTTTTAATTGAGAAAAGCATTGTCTTTCAGATGTTGAAGAATAACCTTTTCTAAGATATTTACCACTGGAGGTGTGCTTTCACGTTTTCATAAGCTTTTTTTAAAAAAAAACAAATAACACAACAGGTATGTACTGTATTGATTGTTTTCCTTTTTAACTCTGAGACTTTGGAGGCAGAGTTTGTGAAAAGTTGTCTAGTGGGAATGATGGTGCTTTCACGTTTTCATAAGCTTTTTTTTTAAAAAAACCAACACAACAGGTATGTACTGTATTGATTGTTTTTCTTTTTAACTCTGAGACTTTGGAGACAGAGTTTGTGAAAAGTTGTCTAGTGGGAATGATGTTAGAATCCATTTCTCTGCAAGGCTGCCACTAATGCCTCAGGAAGGACAAAATACACTTCCAGAGGTGCATCCTGATATAACCCAGGGTTATTAAACAGCAGTCTGGTTTCTAAATGAGGGTGGGTGCATAGCAGAGACGTGAAACAATATACTTTTAATAGCACCGCAGGTCTGCAAAGCACATCCTTGAATACGTGAGGCATCGTGTGTTTAAAGGAAAAACCTCATGCTAACGCTTGTGGCATTTCTAGCACTTCGAGGGACTTCACAAGGAACAGGCCCGCCTGCTTCCCTTGGCGGCAGTCCGGCTAACAGCGTGGGGCGTGAATTTTCCGTGATCTCCAGTGCTGCTCGCTCACGGTGCCCCCCCCCCTCCCGGTGCCCCCGTTACAGCTGGCAGACGGGGCCGCTG